AGTCCCACATATGGAGGATATAAGAGAAGGGTGGATGACAGAATGAAGCATTAATCTGGTAAGATTGGAAAGAGCCTATGTGAAGGGGATGAGAAGTTGGGCTAAAACATGAATTTATTTTTATTTTTATTTTTTTTTACTTTATTTTGGTTTAGTTTCAATTAACGTGTTTGGACACCTGGCTAAGCTGAATGTGCATTAATGGAAACAATAGCATCCTTGTGAACACTTGTGGCAGTATTTGCATGGTCCATGTTTTATGTTCTTGCTGCATCTTTTTTCGTTTTTTTTTCTTTTTCAATTTTATTCCTTTTTTCTGTTTGTTTTCTGCTATGTTTTCTTTTGCATTTTAGCTAAACTAAGACTTGCCATGCATGATGCCAGCGCTAGCACTCACAGCAGAGCCCTAGTCGATAAGAAGCTGCAAATCAGTATCCGAAAAGCCCGGAGCCTCCAGGATCGCATGCAGCACCAACAGCCATCGCAGCCGCTGCCGCCGCCAACCTGCCACCCACCACAGGGCGGCACCATGGCCCAGTCTACAAGGTAGTCCAAGTATATCACCTAGACCCAGATCTGAGCTGCATCTATGAGCAGCGCAGCCTGGAAAGAAATAGCAAACTACATATATATTACCCTGGATAGTCCAAATCCTAGTGTTACTCCCTATTCCTTTCTTCTTTAGGTTAAATCCTATTATAAGATGGTCAGCTAATCCCCCCCTCCCTATTTTTTTTTTCCCTATAGTCTTTATAGAGTAGTTTAATGTGCATGTGTTCAAAACGTGATCCACGACAGAACTGTAGCAGTTGGTGCCTGGCAGCATTGATGTTTTGCGCACCAAGGGAAAGAATATAATAGACAATAACCTGGCCAAAAAGGGGTTGTGTGTTAGGATGACATATGCAATTGTTTATAATTAGGAGCAGTTTCAGGACTCAATAAAGAGTGTGCTACAGTAAAAATCTTGCTATAATTGCTTTTATGTTGGGATCTGCAACCAGTGTGGTTTAGTGCTCTGTAGTTTGAAGTGACAAGTACACTGATCTTTTCTTTCTAGTCTACTTCTCTAGTGGTGCACTGGTACAACTCTTGGATCCAGATCCTGATCCTGTCACCTTGACTACTCTCCCTGATGCCGTATCATTCTTCATTTTCTCTCTGTGCTTCCCAGCATCCTATAGCCTGGCTTAGCAGCCTCTTCAGTGTCTCTTCACGATTCTTTCTTCCATACTAACTTTAACTACAGCATAATTAACTCTCTGCTATAACTGATCCTTTCTTCCTACCCTCTTTAGCATGCAGCTTAATCCTTTCTTCCCATGCCATTCCCTCCTAGCACTAGATCATCCCTATCCAATTTCTAGGCTGTTTCTTGAACTGTTACTTTTCTTCCCTCTACCCTTTCTTAACATGTTGTATTATTAGAAACTTAGATGATATTTCAGATGAGAATCCCTTTTCTTTTCCCTTTTTTAGAATGACACATACAGCTATATAGTAAAGCACAGTTAATTTGCACACCTATCAGGCTATAGTTCATAATGTTCTTTTCCTGCAGTAGCTGAATTATATGTAATGAGGACTGATCTTTTTGTCAATCAGGGGTCCATTATATCCTCTTTTACAGGCGAAATGCAGAGCCCCAGATATGCATTTTGGCAGATTCTAAGAAAATGAAAGAAAGGAACTTTCTCTTCATTTTGTTAATGCTGAACTTGCTCACTGCTGCTCTGTGAAAAGAACAATACTTTTGCAAAAACTTGTATCCAACCAAATGTTAATATTGCAGCCAATAAAAAGAACCTATTCACAGTGAGAGTTCTATACTCTTGCTTTGATATAAGTAACATTGTAGATATTGCTTACAGGAAAGGTCATTTTGCTACACGTATCAACCAGGTCTTCATATGATAGCTTTCATTCTGTGCATCTCAAGGAGGAAACAAAGCAGTGATGTTACAGTTTCCTTAAGTTCTCTGTTGGAGATGTTTGTAGCCTGTCATTTTCTTACCAGCACATGGACTTGGTACCTCATTGTCTATCTGCAAATTAAAATGCTAACTAAATGCAGAAGAATGCCAAGGCCATGTTTGACCCAAGGATATAGTTGTCTTGCACTGGTACATAAAAGAATACAAATGGTTTTTTAGAAGTATACTCAGAATACAGATTCTTACAAAATAATAGTTACATACTTAGCTTGAACTTTATTTTACGTTTTGGATAAATACCTCAAAGATGATATGAAATAAATTCAACCTGTTCCTTCCATTTGTCATATCATTCTTCATGAAGTTACCTGGAGAGAGAGAGAGAGAGGACCTTATGGAAATAGTCTGTTCATGTTCAGATCATGAACGTGTCCAGTGTATTTTTAAAAATATCTAAGATGTGAATGTTGAAAACAGTTGTTTTATTTTATATAAATGTTATTTTTACTATTCATACAATTATACCTACCCAGATGCTCATACTGCTGGTTAAAGTGCCTAGGGTGCTGTACAAGGATATATAGAGCCTAACTGTAGCAAAATACTCTTAAAAATATGAAATGGATTAGTAGATCAGTTATAGTAGGAAAATAAGGGTTAGAAGCCAGGGCCTAACATGTATGTATCTACTAAATTAATGCAAAGTCTTCATGAGAATACAGTTAGCAAAGTGTGTTGAGGCAAATGTCACCTAGTACACATTCTTTACCCTAGGAATAAACGTAAGCAATGACTACTGCTAATCATTTACCCTTCTGTGTGTTTTAGTGAACAGACTGGCCCGCTCCAAGTACTGCTGAGCCAGGAGGTACCACTGGAACCCAACAAAGAAGTGGAATTTGGGTCCAGTTCTTTCTTCCACCCACCTGCTTCCTGCCATGAATTGCACTCATCATTATATCCAGAGTCTTCCTCCTTGCCCCCTTGTGAAAGCAATCCATCCAACAGGATCTCTCCAAACTTCCAGTCTGCTTCTGCTGATTTTCATGACCAAGTTCCCTCTTTTCCCTATAGGCAAGGGTTGGCAGAGAGGTCTGCAAGAACTGAGAATGATGCCCACGGTAGTGTGGAATTTGCTGACACCACAGCCACAGGGCCAAAAGACTATAGGGAATGCTGCAGAAGCAGCAAGTTAGAAGAGGTTCATGACATAATGCCTATTCTCACACCTCAGTACAAATCCAAGACTAACACAGTAAACTCTGGGTCTTTGCCTACACTGTTTCCCTGTCCACATCCACCACAACCAGCATCTCCTGAAAAGGACAGCCAGCAAAGCCCCTGTTCCAAACTTGCAAGCTCTCCAGTGCAGCCCAGCATTTATCATTCAGGGGCCTACCATGCAATGACCCCTACAATTTCATCCCCTACACAACAGTGCTCCTTGGATCCTTTGCAGAAAACAAATAAGTACTCCAGAGCAAACAGCCATGAGGTTTTATTACCCTCACAGGATGAATATGGCACAGGAGAAGGTTGTAAATCTGAGGCTTTTAGTACAAAGGGACATGTTCGCTCCTTGGCAGAGCAGTTTCAGAAAATGCATGCAGTCTCCCAGAGAAAAGGTACTAATGAAAAAGGCTGGATTGCTGCAGTGTGTCAGGATGAGAAGTCTCCAAAGTTGCCACAAAAATCTTTCATCAGCCCTTCATCCTCTGGTCACAGACAGCTAATCCATCAAAACCAAGAAAACAAAAACCAGTCTTCTGAAAAGTTACACTCAACTGTGGATATTAGGGATGTGGTAGTTTCTTTGGAGGGTTTTAGTGCCCAACATGTTGCTTCTAAGAGTATTTGTTCTCACAGTGAAGAGCTATGTAGAAGAGGTGGACAGACTATAGCAGACCCTGCACCCTACCTGGAAAGGCACTGTCATGATGGAGGAATGAAGCAGGTGGATGATGGAGCTACTAGTAGCATGGTTGCCTCTATGCCTGTGGACCGTTGGGTGAATAATGTTACTAGGTGTTACAGTTCTCAGAAGGCTAATAAGAATACTGAATGGCTTCCTGTACCTGGGAGGAATCCACCCCTTTCTGATCAGAGAGCAGTTGGAGATGACTTGAGCAGGATCCCAGTACATCTGCATCCACAGTGGAATCAAGACACAGAACAGGAACTCTCAGAACTGGAATCTCTCTATCAGACTAGTCTGCAGGCATCTCAGGCCACTAGGCCTTTCTTGGGAAGACAGGACAGTGCTAGGTATCCATTTGACCAATCAGGTAAGAATGATGCAGCTGTTTTTCTTGGTTGACCTGCCTATCTACTCCCAATGTAGGTGAAGGAAGATATGTTTTCCAGTTGATACAGTTAAATGGGTATGAATTTGTGCACAGATGCAGAAAGATTCAGGCTGTGGACTCTGCAAACATTCTAATGATAGAAGTAGAGAAGCAGTGTGATAGCAGTGCCTGCGGAGGCTGCAGAGTAGCTGTTGATCATGGCAAACAGAGAGCAACATCTGTCAAGAGTGACATAGAAATAATTGTTCCTGTTTTCAAGCAGGCAACTAGCTGCTTAGGTCAAGCTGATGAATTTTGCTGTTTTAAAGTCCTACATCACGTCTGGAATTTATTAAATGATTTCTGTGTCTGAAGCTAATGTTCCCCACATTTGTGAATTTGAATTGATTGTATTTGAGAACTTAATCTGGACATGATTGAGGGAAATAACTTTTAAAAGTGTTTCCATATTTATGAGAGTTGAGCTTATGTTTTGCTAAGAACTACCTGCTTTAAGTTCTGGAAAATGACTTGTGAAAGCAGCACTGAGGGTACACAACCTGCACTAAGTTCCTTGCGACATTGTGAATTAGTTCGTGCCAAAAGAAAATGAACAGATTCTGTTGCTGTTGGTGTTCCTGGAGACATTCAGTTGGAGTCAGATGGTAACAGTCCAGTTCCACTTAAGCTGATCTAATCTCCTGCCTGAGATAAGGCAACTTTGATTCTCTGCTTAGCACAAATGAACCAAATTTCCTTATAATCCATGTCATAGCTTTAGAGCTACAAATCTTCTACTTTAAATACAAAGCAGCCTGAAAGTTCATGGGTACTAAAGTGAAAGAGATATATATATACACATATATGTGTGTGTGACCTATATTGCAATACATGCACAAGACAGGTTTTCCCCTGCTTTGCACCCATAGAAGTGGAGCCTCCATCATTCCTGACAATATCAAGCCTGGCTGTGACTACAGCAAATACTGCTGTAAACTCTTGAACAGGTTTTTGTTCAACAGCTCAAGTTCTCTTTCTAACTCTCTTGTCTTGTAGTCCACTGACAGACCAGTTGCCACATCTGAAGGTGGCCATTTCCCATTTGTTGTCCTTTAGTTTTCTTTCAGAATTAGGCAAGATCTGACCTCACAACCTTACAAATACTCTCTTGCATGGGCTTGAATCAGGTCTTATGTGTTCGTACTTAACTTACTGATTTTGGAAGCTCTTTCTGGAAATCTTAACAGGATAAAGCCCAGTTACTTTAGTGTTACCTAGAGCTTCAGACTTCTGTCATTATATGTCCCGTTTCTTATACTGACACTTTTCTTGCCTATTTTCTCACTACATATATGAGGGATACGAGATACAAATACTCTTCTAAAGTGAAGTTTGTGTTTGAGATCTTTACTTCTAGTTTGCTGTCACTTTTAGATGTTTCTTTCTAAGTTCTGCAGATTCTCTATAAAGCAAAAAGTGAACTAGTGCATCTACTGCAATGAACTGGATAAAAATCGCCTGAGTGGGTCTAGACAGCTCTTTCTCACTTCTAGCTTGTATTACCTATTCATTTGCAAATACTGTTTAAGCTTTTGGCCCCATATCAACTGGTTTTGTCAGACCTTTGCATTCAGAATAATGGTGAAAATGCCTCTGTTTCATTACTGGAGCTTTACAAGAGAGATTAAAGCAAAGTCCTGACCCTCCAAATGCACCACCTCAGTGCAGAAAATGTGTTGTTACCTGCACATCTGCTTTCTTCCTTTATAGAAAGATTCCCTGTGAGGGAATTAATTAGGCCATTAATCTGCCTGTCTAGTCTATGAGAAATTTTAGGATTATGAAATGTAGGTTGGGATTGCACTGAAGTAAAGGAATGTCACTTGTGTAGCAATCCTAGTTAAAAGTATCAATTTTAACTGTTTAAGCAGCACAGCAAATGGCTGACAAACTAGGGTGGGAACCAGATGATGAATGTGTGGGGAACAAAGCTGATGAGTCTTGTTTATCCCAACTAACTTTAGATAACTTACTCCCAGTAGCTGATTTTCTGTCCCTCTAGGCCCTCTAAACTATTCTGTTTCTGTATCAAACAAGTGCTGGTGTGCAGTTAAGTCATTTAACTCTTAAATAGGTCAATTAACTGCTCCCCAGAAGCCTGCAAAAGGGCAAGTAAAGCAGATGTAAGTTTCCTGATAGACTATCTGCCCTTGAAATGTTGGGAGTTAGCTTATGTATTACTGTTCAGAGGATCTCTACTTCTCGTTCTGTGTGCATAGTCTGTATTTGCTGGAGTCAGACCTAAGGCTGTCAGAAATGTGCTGTAACATGCAATCAAGTGTTGAATTTAACCGTAGCATTTTCCTTCCCAGTCTCTGCGAACCTGAATGTGAGGAAGCTGCATGCTACCACTGGCATGGGTCTCTCGAAAACCCCAACAGCAGAGATCGAGCGCAGTCTGTCTGGATCCGCTGTCTCTTCTGTCTCCAAGGTGATATGTTGTTACTTAGAATGTGCTAGAGGGGGGAAGGGCTTGTCCTTCACAAGTGAAAAAGTTTACAATGGGAAAACTGGAATGTATTATGAAAAAGGTACTGGGGTCATTGATGCTAATGTTAGAGACAATTTTAAGTGCAGTGTAGCTCAGGATTAATTAGGTAAAAATGAGTGACTCATGCTACATGCAGCTTGCATGCAGTCACATTACCCAGGTTCTGACTTTGAGGAACAAATCCCTGAAAACTTAAAGAAACTTTAAATAACTGGCAGTTAACACATCAGTGTTTGGTATTTTCAAGGGGAAATTACATTTCCTATAGTAGTTCTATACTCGTTAAAGGGAGCTTAAATAGTCTTGCTTTTATCAAAGAGAGGAAAAGAAGGAATAAACATTTCCCTTGCTCACATATGAGTAACAAGCCTCCAGCACTCATCAAATAATCCTAGATTTTTTTTTTTTTTTTTTTGGTTATGAGAAGACTGTAGTATTTATTGCTCTTTACAACTTCCTGAAAGGAGGTTATAGTGAGGTGGTGGTAGGTCTCTTCTGCCAGGTAAAAAGCAATAGGACAAGAGGTAGCAGCCTTCAGCTGCACCAGGGGAGGTTTAGACTGGATAGCAGGAAAAATATCTTCACGGAGAGGGGTGTCCCTAGAAGTGTTCAGCAATGGTGTACATCAGGCCCCCAGTGACATGGTTTAGTGGTGGACTTGGCAGTCCTGGGGTAATGGTTGGACTTGATGATTTTAAAGGTCTTTCCCAACCTAGTTGATTCTATGATTCTGTCATAGGATGGCTGTCAGGGGCAGCCATGATTGCCTCTACAGGGGCAGTGATGCCTGTAGCAACAGCAAGGGACTTAGGTAGATTGAATCCAGTTTTTGTTCTGACTTCAGATATTTATGAAGTGAATGAATCTCACTTAGACAAATCAATCAGTGTGTGTTTACTAAAGAAAGAGACTGTAAGGAATAGTATTTTTAATCACTAGAACCAAACAGACGCATTTGCTTTAAGTTTTCAAGGTAGTACCTGAATGAAGGATTTCAAAAAAGGGGAGGTCCTGGAGTTTCATTGAAGTATAGTCTGTTAGATTTCTATTGATCTCTTCCCTATAATTATTACACAAAACTGACATTATGGAGAGCCTTTTCTGAAATGTGTGCTATTGTCTGCAGGTCACATATACCCGAGAACATAGCAGGGAACCAGAAGAGGAGGAAATGTACAGTGCAGAGAATTTCCGTCGCATCGCTCGCAGTCTCAGTGGGACAGTCATCTCAAACAGAGAAGAGACCTTAGTCTCTTCTCATAGTTTTGTAAGTAGAATGATGTTCAGCTTTCCAAAGAGCCATCATCTGTGTGTAGGGTTGCTGTTTTCTCTGTCTGCATTTAGAAGGTAACAAACAAGACAGCAGACAACTGAATAATAAGCCATTATTATTCAGAAGATGAAAGCTTCTCTTTGTGAATTTTTCTTCCCTTTTTGGAAGAAGAATGAGCTTTTATTTAAGTAGCAAAGCCATCTACTTCAGGAGTCCTTGCAGAGTAGTACCTGCTGCAGCTGGTAAGCATGTGAGCTAGTATTACTTGCCAGTATGCAAAGACATCCAGTGTAAACTTTTTTCAGCTAAGTAACAGTGTTTTCAAGAAAACTTGTAATACATCTAAAATTTTAAAAAGATACCGCTAGCCGTGTGAAAGTTTTTGCTCTCTTGTGGGTATATTCAGCAAACAGCATTTTTAGAGAGTAAAAGCAAACGAAAGGGGGGACTTGGTATGTAATGTGCAGTCAGTTACAGGAATTAACTAAAACCAGGGAGATTGGTTTTTTGGGGTTTTTTTGGGTTTTTTTTCTTTTATCTCTGTTAAGTAGCAAGTTAAAATTGCCAGTGAGGAAAAGAGTAACAGATTATTGTTGGTGTTTAGCAGCATAGTCAAATAAAATGTGAAGATTTAGCTTGGATTGAATTTTTTTGTGAACTGTGCTTAAGTTTTGATTTCAAATCAACTGTATAGGAAGCGTCAAGAGTCTCAGTTGCAAAATCTGTTATTTAGACTGGTTGGTCTGATTCTGTCTTTCTGCTGTGTACCATAAGCTGGGAATATGTTAACTTCAGAATGTTCGTGCCTCAGCATGCTTTAGTTGACAGTTTGAATGCATACCTGGGAGTGCTGGCAAAAGCATTTAAAAACCTCTAGCTGTCCAAGACACACACACACACACACACACACACACACACAGAGAGTTTGTGGACCAAACCTCCATGAGTGGTTTGTATTTGGTTTGACTTTTTCTTCTTGGTATATTCCCAGTGAAATGATTCTCCTAAATAGCCCACCACTGCAGTAAGAACCTTACTGGATTGATGCAGTTCTTATTTATATTTCTTTTCACGTACAGATGCATGTTTCTGGTCCAGTGACTCATCCGTTTCCTTGGATCAACACCATCTTTGCTTGTTTCAACCCAACTCTGTGCTTACTCATCATTTTATGTTCTTTTCTTCTCCTTTTCTCATTTTATAAAAGGAATCACCAAGTACAAGGAAATTGCCAGTGGACACCAGCCACCGTTCTTCCAGCTCCACTTCCCTTCCTTTCCCCCATGATCCTCCTGTGTTTCCCTTTGATCCCCAGCACAACCCAAACCACATGCAGCACCTACCCCGTGATGTACTGATGCCCAGCATGGTGGGCAAGGCACGTAAAGCGTCAGGTAATCACAGGACTTTTAATCAGAAATATTGCTGAAATACAACTCTTCAGATCTTGTTTTTCATAATGATGTTTCACCACCTGCCTGAATTCCTCCAGCA